TAAATAGTAAATAAATAATGGATAGTGTTTGTTGTTACATATTAATTCGTTTTTTTTTAAATTTAAAACAATGTTCATAGATGAAGTAAACATTATGTCATATATTTTCACTATAAAGATATTTTCATGAATTTTGTATAACAACAAATGATGAGTTATATTGAATAATGTTTTTAGAAGTTCTCATCTTTGTGATTCATACTTTTGTGAGCATTGAAGAATTATAACGTCATCATGGTTCTTTAAAAATTGAATTCATCTTCTTAAAGCATATGTTACTGTCATTTATTCTTGCATCAACACCATTCATGCCTTTGATGTGATGGAACACAACACAATAAACCTCGTAAGATTCTCTGTATCTAAAATATCCAATATTAGTGTACTCATTGATATGTGTTTATAGAAAGTTGTACTCACTTATTTATTTAAGCAAAAAAATTATCTTTCTTAATTAGTTATATCAAAGCAATCAATATATCACATGCAATTACCCATTATCTAACCCACAAAACTGCTTATAATTAACCTCTCCTATACATTTAAGTCTTATGATTAATCTCTATTAAAAAATAAAATTAATTTTTTTTTATTCGTTAAACTTATATAAGATGTTGTATTTGATTTTACTCTTACATCTATAAATTTAATACTTTTTTTTTTCTCATTAAATAACTATATACCTATGTTTATAAGGATTTGATACTATCACTTCTATCCTTTGATTAGGTGTGACGGTTGTACGAACAATTCTCAAATAACTAAATCATGTTGACACAATCGTATGTAGAAATAATAAACTAACTACATCAATCTAAAATTTTGATTTTAGATAGGTCTCACACATCAAAATACAACACTATAAAAAATTGAAGTTAATTTATTTGAAATTAATAAATTAAAATTATATAACCCTTTACAGGTTTACATAAATAAGAGTAGGAAAATAAATTTTAAATACCTAAATAAAGTATGACAAAAAGAAAGTGTTAATTGTTAAATCTTCTCCTTAAACTTATACCCACTCAAAACTTATTGCAACTAATTCATGTTTTTATATTACATAAATTTAATAAAAGTTAGAGTCAATCATTTGCTTTGTTTGGATTTACTTAAAAACATAAGAATTAGGTTAGAAAATCATCTTATATATTAGAAAGTATTGTTATCTAAGAAACATATAAAAATATAGTGATTTTTTGATGAATGAAATACATTACAAAAGTGTACAAATTTCATTCATAAGTCTATCCACTCATAAATAATTTTAGGAGAAAGTTGTGTGTTGGATTGGTTTAAGGAAGATGTGAAATAAAAAAGAAATCACATGAGGGTGGTAAAATGGATGTTGGAGAATATATAGATGGGAAGAGTGAAACCCATGCACAGTACTTTCCATGTGAAATTGTTAAAAAAAAAAAATATAAATAATCGAGAATGACATTTCTACCCTCAGCACAAAATTCCTATGACCACATGATCAACTATATCAATTAAGATGGAAAAATAGAACATAATCACAAAGAATCTAAGCAGTATGCAAATTACAAATATATTTATGAAGATCGTATTCAAATTTCACTTTTATAAAGTAAATTACAATATAAAGTGTAGTATAAATATGTAACATCTCAAAAATATAGCTTTAAGCTATACTTAACAGTTCTTACATTCATAATAAAATAGAACCGTTTACAAGAAGAATAAAGTTAATTTACAGCTATTTTAGAATAACCATAAATTTACAACTTTACAAAAACATATACTAACACAACTCATAAGATCAGACTGATCAGTCATACAAGCAACGTATTAAACCGAACGGACTTTTACTAATACAAAACCAGTACCAGACCGAACGGTCTTACCCTAGCAAGAACCATCTTCTCCTGCTCCAGAAAAACTTCAGCTCCTTCTGCTCATACCCACAAAATGATCATTGCAAGAACGGGATGACCGAAAGGACAACCAAACAAGATAAGAAAATAAGGGTAAGTTAGTGTAATTTAATTAACTATGTAAACAGATTACTCACGTAAATCTGATATAAATCAATCAGTCCATCATGTAACAAACAATCATACATTTCCACCCATAATCATACCACAATGCATGCATTGACTGTTCACTTTACTCTGACTGTCCAGACTGTATGAATTATGTAGATACGACGTTCTTGCACTCGTGGAAAGGTAATATGGAAAACCATCAGAATTACCATAGCTGGAAACCCAAGCCGCCACACGAGGTTAGCCCTTCATCCCTCACTGTAGCTGGAAACCCAAGTCTACATATGAGTTTAGTCCGATAGCTGGAACCCCAAGCTATACGCAACCAGACCTCCTGCTATCCTCACCAGATGCGCCATCATTCTCTACTTGAGACTTAGTGACCATTAGAATGTCAGGATGAACGACAACTTAGTCTGACCATATTCATACTACCATTCAATAACCAATCTTGAGATATTCCTCCCTGGAGTACTCTTTTGTACCCATATGATTTCATGTGTATCACAATTTAAATACCATACTTCATTAACAACATATTTCCTCATTCGTCATATCTTTAAATACATATCACACATCACAGTGAAACAATAATCCCACCTTTAAACCAGACCGAACGTGAAAGTTCAACATAACCTATGAACAAGAACAAACAGGAGAGCACTCCCAATATGAGAATATGACCGAATGATCATTTTGAGAATAAGACTCAAGTAAGAGTCGAACATTTGAACTTATATCAAACACTTATGATTTGGAACGAATAATATCGGCTTAGATCGAACTGTTAACTTAGTACAATTTACGATATTAAGCACTAGTACAGGACCGAGCGCTATCATTATTTTTAGGGGTTTGAGAAAATATCAATATTTTATATGACATTCAAAATTTCAATGGTTGAATCATAAGAGTTTGATTAAAGAAGTGTAAGAATTTAATTTAAAGAATGTAATAAAAAAACTACATACATGTTTACAAGAGAAGAACAACAAACAAAAGTTCAAAAAATTTAACGAAAATAAAAGCTATACTCAAATAAAAAAAAATTTGATCACCAAAATTTAATATTTTTTTCGCATTCTACTAGTCAGGAACTTCAAAAGAGAATTATCGGGTTTTATTTTTTTGAAAAACAATACATTTTTAACAAATATTTCTACATGACCGATCAGTTGGTTTTTGACAAATATTTTTTAATTGGTAAAAAAAAATCTTGGCAACATATCTATAAATATTCATCATTTCTTATTAAACAAATAGTACTTAATATCTCAATACATTCATGATTTATTTATCAGGTATAACAACATAATATAAATTAATCAACCACTATTTTCTTTTATTTAAAGTGAAACATTCCCGTAGAAGAGTCAGATCTAATTTTTAACCTCATATTTATATAAATTAAAATTATATAATATATTTAAAAATATAAGTAATTTATATGTATATCAATATTATTAAAAAAATTTATGTATTTTTACATATATTCGTATACATATATCTACCATTAAATATTTTGTAAATAATAAAAATACATTAAAAGTCGTAGTAATATAAGTTTCTTTAATAAATGATAATTTTTTTTTTTAATTTTATAAATGACAAATATAATACTATGATATCACGTGCCACATTTAAAATATAATTATCTATTAAATCATAATTGAATAGTGAATATAACTACTGATAAGTTCTATTTACTGAAAAGAACTACTTACTTTTATATAGATAAAACTATTTCCGAATCAAATTACATAACCATTTTACCAAACTCGTATATATTCCAATAAATGGGCAAAGTTTTCGTCCCTTATCGTTTCAAACGCTGAAAGATATTTTGTTCTTTTCTCTTTTTGTAAAATCGATACTTTTTCATTCTATGTTGTCAACGTGTCCACATTATTCCAAGAGAACATTTCTCTCATACTCAAAGTCGTATATGGTATAAATTTGAAAGGGACGTTAAAACCTAAGAATGTTGGATCCATTTATTCCAAAATTTGTTTCTAAATTAATTTAATATTTAAAATTATAAAATATTTTGTTTGATATAAAATATTATTAGACACGATTCATTTAAAAAAATGTTATTTCTTACCATATTTAAGCACTAATTAAAATAACATCTTATATTTTTTTTTAAATTAAGTTAATTGATACTAATATTTAGCAACAAAAGTTTTGAGAACATGTTTTTTCTATGTCGCATCACTATCACACTTATCGAAAACAAATCAAAGACGCATCTATTTGGTAAACCGATGGTTAAATGAATGGGTAATTTAAAACTATATAAAAATAGAGAAATTTTAAATTTATTACAATAATGGATGAACAAGTAAACAGCGTTATAAAAAAATTAGGACTTTATAATTTAAAACACAACTTTCCTTTTTATTTATTTTTTATTAAAATTTGTAAGTTGTGCTTAGATATTCTATTTCAATTTTTTAATAGTAAAATCTTTTAAAGATGTTTCATTTTATAACGAGACTTCAGTGACTGTAGTGTCCCAAATCACAAACTTCATAATATTTTTTTTAAAAAGGTTAAAACTGTGTACAAAATCATGAGTTTGTAATTTTAAAAATAAAAATAGAAAAAAAAACTTACAATTAATTTTTTTATGTATTACATCATAGTCATGTTTTGAAAGACGGATTTTTTAATTCTTTAAAACATACTTACTTATTCAAACAAAATAGTAAATTTAAACTTTATCTTCTGTTACTTATAAAAAAAAAATAGGAAAGGTAAATTATTCTTCTGTTTGATTATTTTAAACTTGGATGGTAATTTTTTTAATCAGTATACTTCAACAGTTATAAAGCAGTTAAGGATGAGATTAAAATAATAATATAAAAATAGTTAATTTATTCTAAAAATAATTAAGATGTGAGTTGCTGAGTGTAAAGTATCTGGTTTAGACGTGTGTTAAGCAGTGATGAAAAAAGCGCGTGGAGAAGAAGAAAACAATACCTTAACGCAGACCGCAAAACAAAAATAGCATTATGAGGAACAAGTGCAATGCATTGACCAATGAAGACGAGGTTTAGTACAAACCCACACCTCACTGTGTTCTTCCCTTCTTCTGCCTTTGCTTAGCCTTTGTTTACTCACTCACTTCAACTCAATTATAAAAACCCATCATCGCTCTCACTTTCTTCCCTTTTCTTTTCACCTCTCTTCAACTTCCACAATCCATTCCTACCTTCATCTTCTTCCTTCCCATACCCTTTGGGATTTTACAGAGAACAAGTGATGATATCAAGGCGGCATAACTAAAAAGCCTTTCTTTCGTCTTATGGCATGTCTCAGGAGGAAGAAGCACTGCGTGCAACCCCAACAGCGCGTTTTTCTCTCAATTCCCAAATTTATCGCCAGATAAACCCCACATCTCTCATTTCTTTCCCACTCCATGACAATCTTTCGCTTCTTCTGCCCCTTCTTTATACTCTTCTTCACACAAACAGGTACCTTGATGCTTTCTTTGTCTTGTCTTTTTTAATCTCTGATTGATTTACTTACTTTATGGACTTTAATTGATCTTTATGATTTTGTATGATTGTGGGTGGGTGCTCTCAGCATCTTATATTGAATCAAGTTCTTGGTACTGTTATTGTTTTTGTTTGTATTTGGTTTTTTTTTTGTGTTCTTGCCCTGATTGCTTTCTTTTTATTCTGATGTTATGGAGTTTTTTTTTCTTTCATGCTCTCCCTCCCCCTACCCTTTTTGGGTGAGATTTTAATTTTAATTTTCTATTTTTAATATGTACATATTGCTTTCTTTTCAAGTTATCATTATGATTGCATTGATCAGTGTCTTTCCTTCATGGTTTCACATGGGACCACTGTTCCTTGGACATATCATGATTGTTCCAATTGTGTCAATTCGTGGTTCTGATTATAGATGGGCTTTCTAATTGGGGTTTCTAGAGTTTCTACTTTTTGGTCTTTCATGTGCATATACTGAGTACCAATTCTGTTCATGAATGGCCAAATAATTTTAGGACTGTAGAAGTTCTGATATGTTCTTTTATGTTGGCAACATCATGTTAATGGAGCTCTACCCTCCCTGTTTGGTTTCCAGGTTACGTGCAAGCGTTCACCGGGACCTATGGTATAAATTACGGGAGGATTGCAAATAATATTCCCTCACCTGATGACGTTGTTACTCTTCTTAGAGCAGCAAAAATAAGGAACGTTAGAATCTATGATGCTGATCACAGTGTTCTCCAAGCATTTAGTGGAACTGGGCTTGAAATTGTAGTGGGACTTCCAAACGGGCAGCTGCAAAACATGAGTTCGAGTGCAGACCATGCTTTGAGCTGGGTAAAAGAAAATGTACAGACGTTTCTTCCTAACACACGAATTCGTGGAATTGCAGTAGGCAACGAGGTTTTGGGTGGGGATGACTTTTCGCTGTGGGGAGTTCTTTTGGGTGCTGTTAAAAATATTTACAATGCCACTAAGAAGCTTAATTTGGATAAACTGGTTCAGATTTCTACTGCAAACTCATTTGCAGTTTTTGCGACTTCCTACCCTCCCTCCTCATGTAAATTTAATGATAATGTTAGTCAGTATATGAAGCCTCTATTGGAGTTTTTCCAACAGATTGGCTCTCCTTTCTGTTTGAACGCTTACCCTTTCTTAGCCTACGCAAGTGACCCTGAACATATTGATATAAATTATGCACTTTTTGAACCTACAGAGGGAATTTATGATCCCACATATCGTCTGCATTATGATAACATGCTCGATGCTCAGATTGATGCAGCATATGCAGCTTTGGAGAATGCTGGATTTCACAAAATGGAAGTTATAGTTACTGAGACTGGCTGGGCCTCAAACGGAGATCAAAGTGAAGCTGGAGCAAATGTAACTAATGCAAGGACATACAATTATAATCTGCGGAAAAGGCTTGCGAAGAGGAAAGGAACCCCACACAGGCCTAAAAATATTGTGAAGGCATACATTTTTGCATTGTTCAATGAGAATGAGAAGGGGGGGCATTTATCTGAGAGGAACTATGGACTGTTCAAGGCTGATGGGAGTATATCATATAACATTGGTTATCATGGACTCAGTGCTGGACATTCGTCTCTTTTGTCTCTTAAGGTACTTTAAATTTCATTTGATGCTATTTGTTTGTTTAAGCCCATTTAGAAGTTTTCTCACGCCAAACAAAGAAGAGAAATAAAATGAAACCAGGATCTCCCCCTATTTATTTGCAGTCTGTTCTCATTATATCTTTTGTAGTTTTGGCAAGTGAGCTGGTTTATTGGAAGAGAGTTATGTCTTAACAAAATGTAACAAATCTACTAGATGATGATGATGCAATGCCATTCAATATACACTAGCATAGGCAATGTCAACTTTTGCACCACAACATTTATAAGAGACTTACTTATTGGAAAGTGATGATGCACCTTGGTACCTGCATGATAGGACTATATGGATTTGGAAGTATGTAATTCTCAAAAGTGTATTTGAAGCATGCCATATAAAGAAGTAACAAAGAAAGTATTGAGAAATTTGCCCCACAAGTTGACAAAGGATGCCGGGCCATGTCAAGAAATTGCACTTCATTTTGATTTTATTTAATTATTGGCTTTGCTTTATCGTGCCATTCAATATGAATTTATCTATTTTCAATTACTCATAAGAAAATAGAGATTGTGAAAATGTGTTTTTTTTTTTTTCATTGGTACTACTTTCCCTACTATCTAGTTATAGACTAGTAGCAGAACATCTGGCACCAGTACTTTAATCTGTTTTCCATATCTGTATTCATACCAATACTATAGAATACTTCATTGTCAAACCTTTGAAATACAAATATTTTTATGATCTTTTATTTTAATAATGTCTAAGAAATGTGATTTTAATTTGGATTTATACAATTACACACTTGTACTATGTTTGAAAAAGTTTTGTACATTTTCAAATACGTTTATATCATGACATTCTTACAATAAATGTACTATTGTATGGGATACACATCATATCCGATACACATGTGTGCATCATAGGCAGAACCAAAACCCATGTTCCACGGTTTTAATAAGATTTATCAATATCCAAGCTATTTTAAGTCTTTATTTCATCATGATGGTTGCCGGTTATGCAAAGATGAGTCAAACCTGTTGTAGTTTGAAATGGTTTTGGCTGGTTTGGAAGTCGCCCTGTTTTCTTTAGCAATATTCCAACTCCCAAGTGTTTGTAGAATGTGGATACAATTCAGTAATCAGTGAATTCTCAATTCAGTACTTCCACTAACAGCTGGGAATTTAATTTTGCTGATAAAGAAGTTAGATTATGCAATCTTTTATATTGTGTTCTTTTGGTGTTTACTGTTTCCTTTTAATTTGACTTGGCAGAGTATCTGTAATGAAGGTTTGTCCTGGTCCTACACGATGGTATTCTGTTTATCTTCTTTGATATTGCTGATTTGCTGGAGTTAGAGATCTTATGTTACCAACCTGCTCAGCATACCAGTTCCTGCCAATGAAATGGGTTTGACTTTGCTCTATTTCATGCCTCACCATAGATCCAAATTATACCATTGATTGTCATATTTCATAAAGCGATATCTAGAAATTCTGATGTTCCCCCATATTCAGCAAATCTGTAATTATTTCACTTGAGAAAGCATTTCCTTCCTTTGATGAGAACTAGATTTTTCACTTTTTACTAATATATTTTAAATTTTGGACACAGATTCTAATTTTATATAATACACGTAAATTTTGGTATTTTGTTTGTTTGTCAAAGCATTTAAAAATACAGAGGCAAATTGGTCTAAATTTTGGTATTTTCAGCAATAATTACGTAATTACATGACACATCAATAAAATTGTCAACTCGATAATGCATGTTGCCAAAAGTATTATTATGTCAACTGAAGATGTTACAGAGGCTAAAATCAATAGTGATATGTTTATACAGATTAAAACAAAAAATGTTTTATTTACAGGAATTAAGCGACTAATAACAAAAAGAAATGATAAAGTCTATAAATATGTGAAAACAACCTATTTTATAGTGGATGAAATAAAAAACTGACACATTTACAAAATCATATTTAATTGTTAAGTTGAAGTTGATTAATAGTTGTTAGACATCCTAAAATGACTTAAATAATTTTTTTTTAAAATTAGTCATTGCTACTATCAACACAATTTATCAATTTTTTTCATCTTGATTCTGTTTATTATTATAACAAATTTGCAATAATTAACTAAATATATTTTTATTTTATTTATTTTGAATTTTAAATTACTAAATTCAATTTGTTTCTATTTTTTCTTGTTGGCAATAAAAGTATTAAAATAGGTCAGTTAAGTGGCTTGAAAAGTTAGTGAATAGATCAAATTAGAAAAAGAAATTACAACATAAATTGAACTGTTCATTCTTTTGATGAGAGAAAACTTCTTCGGCAGGGGAAAACATGGGAACGAACCTGATCTTGAAAGATTGATCCAAAATTTCAATTCCATAATCCAACTTGACAATGAAAGAATGATATAAAAGCATTTAGTCCAGAAATTATAGAGTTTTTTAATAGAATAGAAGATATTTTGTTAGTCCGGAATTCAATAAGTTTAGGAATATATATATATATATATATATATATATATATATATATATATATATATATATATATAAACAAAGTTTACACCTTTTAAGGTAGATAAAAGAAAAGATAAATCAGAAAAAGGAAGATTTGTATGAAATTCGGATTCAATCGGACTTGAATACTTATCTTTAAGAGTAATATTTAGCATTCTTTTCTTTTCTGCTTTTACTTTATTTTTTCTTTTCCAATTGTTAAATTTTATTTAAATAATAGTGTTTCAACCGGATCCGGGGACCCTGTTAAAACACACAAGTTTGTCGAAGATCGGGCGGACGATCACGAACGGTAAAGGCTGGCGGACGAACGATGAAGCTGCTATGGATCGGGCGGACGCTTTCTCATCAGCTGAAGCAGATCGAGCGGCTCTGGCGTCAAAGGCACTCCGACGCTCAAGTCAGTAATATGACAGAGCGGTGTCAAAGGCACTCCGACGCTCAAGTCAGTAATATGACAGAGCGGTCTGTGATGCATGTATATATTGCATCGTGAGGAAAGTTGGTCCATAACTCATACCTGAAACCTTTATTTATACTGATTGTAATGGGCTTTTACCTTTAGTGGGTCTGATAACGGCTCTTTTACCATTAATGGGCCTGATAACGACCCAATCATACCTTAATAAGTCATTAAGGGCTTTAAATGAGTCATTAGCGTCTAACTGTGTAGTCGACCAAGCGCGGGTCGGTGGGAAAGATGGTCGGCCAGGGATGAAACCTGGGTGGGCTGCCATCTGGTTCTGCTGTTCGGTCACACTGGACGCTCGGTCCTGTTTGCCCACTTTGGCGGACGTCCGGTTCATGACTGGCCGAGCTTGGAGGTCTCTCGGTCCATGTGCGGCGGGGCAGCGTTAACTTGGACGTTCGGTCTCGGTGCTCGACCCGGGTGGACGTTCGGTTCATGACTGGGGAGTATCGGTCGGTACATAATGTTAGTTTGGACGCCCGGTCTTGATTGTGACCTCGGTGGACGACATTGTGTTAACCGTTCGCGGATGTCCTTCCGTACGACATCCGTTCCTGCTGGTATAAATAGTATGCTTAAAAAACAACTACGGTACTGTAGTTGGACTTTGTTTCTTATGAACCATTATCGTGAAGCAGTTAGATTGAAAATGGATATTTGCTTAAAACCTTCACAATTTATAAATATAATTTCATTTGATTTTAAAATGTTTATATAACATCCTTAAATATGTAAATATTATAAACAAAAAAATTATAATATTAAAATTTATTCTAAATTTCTTTTAAATAATGTAAATATATGCTAAATTTATAATATATATATATATATATATATATATATATAATAGTAAAAGTCCTACTAGTTTACTCTTACCCTACCATTTACAAATATATTTGTTGGGATGTAAAATTGATGATCAAAATGGTAAAATAATGGTTTATTAATATATAAATAATTATAACAAATAATAATATCAATCCATATCAAATATTACACGTAAACATTATCATTCATACACATTTTCAAGAATTCTACACTGCTATAGAGTATAGATTATTCTAATAATTTTAATTTTTATTAATTATTAGTTGCTTCTCTCATAGTGTATATGCAACTTTTATGGATTTTTTATTTTATGATATATTTGTTTATTTAATTTAATACAATGATTCTTACCATGGTTAAAGAAGAGATCATATCTCACATTATCAATTTAAAAAACATTTTCAAACCTATTCACAGATTTACATGTCAATTTCACCATATAAAAGTCTATTTGGTAACACAGTCTCATCAGTTAAACGAAATACGACAATAGAAAAAAAAAAGTTTAGTTTTTACTGAAATTTTTAGCTTGAGTAAGAAACCTTTCCTTTAAGCAAAAATCTTCTAATTTCATTTTTTCTTGAAGAAGAATTTTTCACCTAAGCTAAAATATGCATCCACTCATCATAATTAATCCATGTCAATTTAGGAAAATTTTCACACAAAATCCAAAATCAAGTAAAATAAAATGAAATTATTAGTTATTCTTACCTAGTGGACACTTGTTTCCAAGCTACAACAAATATACTTGTAAGAGTTCCAAACACCTAAGAAACACCTAATACAACTAAACATCAAAATTAAAAAGATAATTTTCATGAAACATCATCTCTATCACACTAAACTCGTAAGAATCCAAACTTCAACCTACACTCATAAAATGCTAGAAAAGAGATTATGAAACAAAAATAATCTTATTTTATTTGAAATTCTGATAGATTGAAAATTATCATTATTACTATTTGTCTTTACGAATATTATTTGATAAAAAATAAGAATTAATTCTGTAAAGTCTTAAAATAAATGATTGAATAATTAAAATTATAATTTACATATATACTTAACATAAAATAAAATGTAAGTAATAAAAGGTTTAAAGAATAATTCTGATATTTTATTTCAAAGAGTAGAGTACCA